CGTACTATGAGTAGATACAACCCCAACCAGGCACCTAGCAACCTGGTTCGTAGCCGGTGTGTCCCTGAATCAGTGGCCTTCCCGGGAGGTCTGTTCCCACCAGTCGTTCTGGGCTCTGCCCCGTCCGCGATTCTGCCTCATCATTTCCCCTTCTCCCTTCTACTGGTTCCCTTCTCGCTCCTGGTGTGTGTCCCCGAGCGCTGAGCCGGCTCCTACAATAAGTACCGTGGTTTCCGCGTGGAAACCAACCTCTGCCCACCGCTCCCCGGGCGGATGAGGCTGCAGCCTGCGGGGCGAGGACAGGAGCGGAAGGAGGGAGACGCGGGGGGAAAGCTTTCAGGTAGGGGCACGGGGCGCGCCAGGGCAGACCAGGCTCGGTGGCTCTTTGACTCGGACCCGGGATGCCAGAGCCCTCTCTGTGGATGTGCCTCAGGGTCTCAAACTCTGAGCCTCGCACTTTGGAGATCCCGATCTCTCTTTTCCCTGATCCTTTCCCTCGCTATAGGCCCCTCCCCCTTCCTGTCGGTTCGCTCAACTCCCTCCCGGCTCCTCCTCTTCTCCTTTTCTACAAGCTCCTTCCCTTTTGTCTCTGCTACTCCCCTTCCCCTCGCTCTCAGCTCCGGACTCCCTTCCCCTTTTCCCTCCAGGCTCTCCCCTCCCCTCCCCTAGGCCCTGCCCTCTTCCTGTATCTTGGGCCCTCCCTTTCCGACTTCCTTGGTTGCTTTTTTTTTTTTTTCCTTCGTAAAAATGTTTATTGCTAAGAATTATATAGCTTCTTATACAGTGTATCATCCAGAGACGGACCAATGGGCAGAAAGGATAAACTGTATGGTAAATACTGAGCTACATACTAAGTACTAGCAAGGAAGGAGAAAAAGACGGAGATTGAATACATCAACAAATGTCTATAAAACCCTCAACTAGATGCCAGTCACTGTTCCAAGTGTGTAGAATACATTAGTGAACAAAGCTGACAAAGATTCTGGTCTTATGGACTTAAATTCTTGTGGGTACAATATATTTCAAAGTAAGTGAATTCTATAATATGGTAGAGGGCAATAAATGCTATAGGAAAGAGCAAAGCGAGATAATGGAGTACAGGAATGCTAGTGGGGGGCAGATCAGGGTGCCAGCGTGCTTGAGTTGTGGTGAGAGCCCTCTTCCTGGTTTACAGAGGGCCATCTTCTCTCAGTATCCTCACATAGCTGAGACCCAAGGTTCCGGGTTCGATCCCCAATCAGAATCATACAAGAATCAACCAATGAATGCATAAGTAAGTGGAACAACATATCGATGTTTCTCTCTTTTTCTCTCTCCCCTCCTCTCTCAAATCAATTAAAATACAATAAGCTTCAAATATGCACTTAAAAATATAGTTCAAATCTTTTGTACTTTGTCAGTATTGGGACGCTAGATGAGAACTGTTATCCTTAATTATCTGCCATCTTTTAAAAACTTTTGCCTATTTACCTTTATAAAACTATAACTGATATATGTTGCTATTACAAAATTTCTGATTAGATTTCATTAAGTGCAGATACAATTCTTTTGTTTTACAAAATTATACTAAGGCTATTTATATTTCTTCCCAAATTTGATAATTTTCTGCATCCCCTTCTTTTTTAAAAAAAGTAACTATATGGTAAAGATGATAGCAGATGTTCAATTTTTAAAAAGCAATGTATGGAATTTTGAAAAACAACTTTGATTACCAAGTTGTGCTGTTTTAATGATTTAAAAAATTCTATCTGGAAAAAGATGAAGAACATAGTTGAGATCCAGGGATGTAAGCAAAAATGTTCTGTGAAGAGCCAGAATAGATGTCGTAATGTTCATGTACTGACTCTCATGTTTCAAACACTCTTTTTGACATAGTTTTAACAAATCTGGTATTTATTCCACAAATCAAGGGCTTGCTCTCTAACAGATTAGGGTAGAAAAAAGGGAGAGGAGGCATAATGACCCCTGATCACCAAAACTAAAAAAGACGTAAAATTTTTGCAAAGCAAGTTTAAGTTCTTTGGTAGGAGTGAGAGGGTGTGGGTAACAGGGTTGTGAACAGTCAGTTATCACCATTTAGTTTTGGGGCAAATAGCTCTTTTCACATCATTGGATACTAAAAATGTTACAGGGTTGGAGCAGGTGCAATGATTGATGTTCAAAATGACCTTGAGTCATCAGGAACGTTGACTGGTGATCACCGTGTTCTATTTGAGGTAGAAAAGACTGAAGATTAAGAATGGCTGAGGTGCCTGGCCAGGCGTGGCTCAGCTGTTGAGCATCCAGGAGGTCGCGGTCAGGGCACGTGCCTGGGCTGTGGGCTCGATCCCCAGCTGGGGGCGTGCAGGCAGCAGCCGATCAATATCGACTCTCTCATCATTGATGTTTCAACCCTCTCTCTCCCTCTCCCTTCTTCTCTCTGAAATCAATAAAGATACATTAAAAAAAAGAGAAAAGAATGGCTGAGGTACCTGAAAAATTTATGTATTCGGGAACCCAGTGATGCCAGATAAATGAAATGTTATGAATTTATAGCTATACTGTGTTAAAAATTTATAACTTAGTACAGTGTTATAAATTTATAACACAGTACAGCTATAAATTTATAATTATACAGTTATAAATCGATGGGAGCAATAGACTCAATTACCTTTCAGTTATTTCATTATGTATTTTGCAAGAGCAACCTTATTTTACTTTATAGTACTAATGAATGTTTGTTTCCTTCTTGTAGTCATCAGTAGCACTATTTGTAAATAGATTGGACTCAATGGAATCTGTCTTACCTCATGAATATAATATGTAAGTTATAAGTATTATAATTAGATCTGATATAATTTTGATTGTGTTACATCTTACATGATTATAATACAATATCAAAACCAAGGAGTTGACATTGGTACAATGCACAGAGCTTATTCAGATTTCACTAGTTTTGCATGCAGTCGTGTGTGTACGTGTGTGTGTGTGTGTGTGTGAATGAGAGAGAGAGAGAGAGAGAGAAAGAGAGAGAGAGAGAGAGAAAGGGAGATTCATTGCAGTTTTATTACCTATGCAGATTCATGTACCCACCACCACAATCAATACACAGCATAGCTCCATCACTATAAAGCTCCCTCATGCTGTCCATTTATAGCCACTCCAGCCTTCCTCCACTCTCCTTACCCCTGACAAATACTAATTTCTTCTGTATTTCAATAATGTTATACAAATGGAATCATACAGTATGTAACCTATTTAGGATTAGCTTTTTTCACTCAACATAATTTCCTTGAGATCCATCCAGGTTGTGTGTATCAATAGTTCATTCTTTTTTAATTGCTGGGTAGTATTTAATGGTATGAATGTACCACCTTGTTTAACTATTCATCCTACCAAGGGACATTTGGATTGTTCACAGCTTTTGACTGTTATGAATACAACTGCTATGAACATTTATGTGTAGGTTTTTTGTGAAGATAGGTTTTTCTGAGATAAACACTCAAGAGTGTAATTGCTGGGTGACATGTAAGTTGCATGTTTAGATTTCTAAGAAACTGTTTCCCAGAATGGCTCTACCATTTTACATTCCCACCAGCAAAGTATAAGTGATCCAGTTTCTCTGTATCCTTGCCAGCATTTAAAAAATTTCAGTCATTCAGATAGGTGTGTCTCAGTATGGTTTTAATTAGCATTTTTCTAAGGGCTAATGATGGCAAATATCTTTTCATGTGCTTATTTGCCATTTGTATATCCTCTTCAGTGAAATGCCTCCGCTTTTGCCCATTTTCTATTTGGATTTTTTGTGTTTTTACTATCGAGTTTTCAGAATTCTTTATATATTCTAGATATGATTCCTTTGTTGTAACAGTATTTTGCAAATAGTTTCTTCCAGTCTATAGTTTGTGTTTTTATCCTCTTAACATGGCCTTTCAGAAAGCAACTTTTTATAATTTTTTTATGAGGTCCAATAATCAAGTTTCCTTTTGTGGATTATACTTTTGGTGTCAAGCCTATGGAGACTTTGCACAGCGTTAGGTCCTGAAGATTTTCTTCCATGCATTCTTCTAAAAGTTTTATAATTTTACTTTATACGTTTAAGTGTGTGATTCATTTTTAGTTGTTTTTTGTATAAGGTGTGAGGTTTTTGCCTGTCGCTGTCTTTTTGTTGAAAAGACTATCCTTCCTTCATTGAACTGCTTTTGCACCTTTGTAAAAAAAAAAAAAAAATCACTTGGATGTAGTTGTGTAGGTCTGTTTCTGGGTTTTCCATTGATCCATTGGTCTTTGTATCAGGCATTAGGTTTTCCACGATTAAAGTTGCACACAGTAGCCCTGTATTTCCCTTGTCCTAACAGAAAATTACATTTTTTTTTTCAGAAAATGCTGTCCCTTGGATTGAAGAAACAAGACAGTGTTGTTCAGTTCAGCTGCCAATAAGGAATTTTTAGGTTAGTATTTGTATGATTTCAGGACATGATGTACTAAATGTGACTCTTTTCTTTGTTCATTATTTCTTGATTAATAACACTGGCACTTTACCTTGATAATCCCCCACAGCTAGACCTTGTAAACAAGAGGTTTCATGTTAAAAGTATCAAGTATTTCATTATCACTGTTTATGGTAACAGCTTTATTGAGAGATATTCACATACCAAATAATTCACCCACATAAAGTGTCAAATTCAGTGGTTTTAATATATTCACAGAGTTGTGTAACCATTACTACACTCAATTATATTATCACTCTCAAGTAAAGGGTTCTATATCAGGATAGTTTTTTGGAAGCTACAGATTTTATATATTCCACTTTAGATATTATAGAAAAAGCCAAATTCAGTGGTGAAAGCATTGTGTGTGTGTGTGTGTGTGTGTGTGTGTGTGCCTAGTGTAATCATTTTGAGTATGAATTGAAACTTAGAGGAAATAATGCTGAGGATGATGGTATACTGAAGTCTATAAGCAACAGTTTTATCTGTAAGATAAAATGCTTATTTTGTGACAATTGATTTATAAAATTGAGTCAAATGTCTTAATATTTTTAATTCTTCCTTAACAGTTTTCTATTAACAAGACAGAAACATGTATAAAAGTTTGTGTAATATCTTATGGTGCAGCAAATCAAGACGAAAAGTAAAAGCTGGCTTCTTTTTTGGAAGAAGGGAATGCAGCTGAATTATCAACCTCACTGATAGGTTTGACATCTGAAAGAACATGACTTAATTTTTCATTTTCTTTCAGTAGTTTTAATAAATACTTGAAATTTTAACTATTTTTGTGACTTCATTTTCATTAAAAATTTGAACTTAAATATATGTAAGATGGTGTTAGAATTACTTGATGTAAAATGTTTGTTAATACTTTCTTTTTAAAATATTTATATTTAGAATTATTGATAATGTGCCAGTAATATGATATCATGATATGGAAGATAAAAAAAGTACTGCACAGCAGGATTTCCAATGTGATGTTTTATTACCAAAAGTGGCATATCAAAAGGTGCTTGTATTAGCAGTGCAAGTGCTGAGAACTTACTATAGAAATATAAGAATGTTGTTGCTTCAGTTACAATTTGCTTTCTATTATAGTCACTTATCAAACATTAATGTGGCACCTACCATCTTCTAGGTTTTGTGCTAGGTGCTGGGGATACAAAGACAAGTGGACATGGTCTCTGTCCTCTAGAAGTTCACAGTCCTAAGTGGGGAGATAGACATGCAAACAAATCAATGAAAGAAAATGTTATCTGATAGGAGATGGAGGGGCAAGGAGAATATAATGGAGGGAATGAAAAAGTATTTGTCAGATAAATGGGTGGGTGAGCATTTCTAGTAGGGAAATTAGTGTGATCAAGAGCTTGGAAGTCGGAAACAGCATGCTATTATTGGGAGACGGTGAGTAGTTGAGTCTGTGGCCTAAGGTTTGTGGTTTGGGGGGTGCAGCTAGGAATGAAGCCAAAAAGGGGGGCAGACAGAAGCCAAATCATGGAGGGATGTCCTGTATGCAAGAAAAAATAGCATTGAATGCCTGTTATGTGCCAGGAGCAATGTTATATTACTTTATATTCAGTGACTCATATAATCCTTAGAATACCCTTTTGCTAAAATCTACTACTTCCATTTTACAGATGATGAAACTCAGTCTCAGAGAGGGTAAGTGATATGACTAGGGGCATATAGCTAGTAAGTCCTACCAAGAGGTAGGACTCCATCTCAGATCTTTTAACTCGGAAGTCTCAATCACATTGTGTTTGAAACTTGCCTTATGGTTCATAAGCTGTCTTTACTGGGCCCAAGGGTAATAGAAGTGTCTTGGGGCTGCCATGGAGGCTAAGGAAGAGGCTGAATGGGCATATGAGAGCTCAACCTGGGCAGCACTGCTTGTAATCTGTTTTATATGTGGAGACTCGATGTGGATCAGTGATGGGGACGAAGGGGAATGGAGAGGGAAGAGTACAGGATGATGGCCAGGTTTCTGTCTTGGTTGTCTAACTGATGGTACTCTTCAAAAAAAAAAAAAGATGTTCTTAATGATTTTAGACAGAGAGGAAGAGAGAGGGAGAAAGAGAAACATCGATGTGTGAGAGAAACATTGATAGGTTGCCTCTTGCAAGCACCCCAGCCGGGGACCAAACCCGCAACCTGGGCATTGTCCAGACAGGGAATCGAATTGGCCACCTTTCGGTGCACAGGACAATGCTCAACCAACTGAGCCACACAGGCCAGAGCAGCTGATGGTATTCTTAATTGTTTCTTTCCAGAAGAAAGGACAGTGCTTCTTAAATTACAGCCATTCATGCACCACGTTACCTTGGTGATGTTTGCCATATCTGAGTCACTCACCTGTATTATTATTTATCTATTTTTTTAAATTCGTAATTTAACTTTTAAATCTATTTAGAATGGAAACTATAACAACCCAGAAATTACAGGTTTAGTGTACTATTTATATTTTTTACTCATCTAAGTAAATAGGTAAAAAAGTAAAGTATCAGTTGTTTTTTATCTACCACCTGGAATCATCTCATATCTCCAGTGATACGTATTCTTCACAATGGGAAACACTGAGGTAGAGAATATGGGAGAGGAGCAACAAACAACTGCTTCATTGATAATTCTTTTAAAGTAAGGGAAGGGTGGCAGAAGAGAGGAGTTCAAGAACAGGAGGAATTTTTATTAATATAGCCTGTGTTTGATATTATATATGAAAGTGGCTTCTGTAGGACCTTATTTTTTATATATATATGTTTTTATTGATTTTAGAGAGAAAGAGAGAGGGAGAGAGAGAAACATCAATGTGAGAAGATCATTGATCAGCTGCCTCCTGCACGCCCCCTACTGGGGATCAAGCCCACAACCCCGGGCACGTGCCCTGACCGGGAATTGAACTGGTGACCTGGTGCATGGGATGATGCTCAACCACTGAGCCATACTGTCCAGGCTATTTTATAGTTTTATCATCCATGTCTATATCCCTAGACACTATAGTTTAGACATGACCATTTAATGTATCTTTTTTTCAATATTTTATTATGAGTATTTTCAAACACACAGAAAAGTTGAATGAATTATGTAGTGGACACTCATATATCCAGCACCTAGATTCTAAGGTTATCATTTTTCTATATTTGATTTATCATATATCTATCCATTTGTCCATCTCTGTATCATTCATCCAGACAATGGTGCATATTCCTCTGGTCTTTACTTCCTGCAAATTGGCACATGGATCCAGTGTGTGGCTTGATCAGATTCAGGTTTGATCTCTTTGGTGAGATAAGGTAGTGGTGTGTTGTTTCATCATTAGGTATGTGATACCTCTTTGAAAAAAATAAATTTATTATTTAGAGCAGGTACAAAAAAAAAAAAATTGGCAGGTACAGAGATTTCCCATGTATTCCCTGGCTCCACACATACATAGCCTCTCCCATTATCAACATCCCCCTCAGCCCAAAATGGAACATTTGTTACAGTTGATGAACCTACACTGATACATCATAATCACCCAAAGTCCATAGTTTACATTAATGTTCACTCTTAGTGTGTTCATTTAATGAATTTGGACAAATGTATAATGACATGTATCCACTATTACATGTATTCACTGTTTTTGTTGTTTTTAATCCTAACCCGAGGATATTTTTTTCATTGCTTTTCAAAGATTGGAAGGGAGAGAGAGAGAGAAAAAGAGAAACATCGATGTGAGAGACACATTGATTGGTTGCCTCTTGCATGCGCCCAGACTGGGGCTGGGGATCAAGCCTGCAACTGAGGTACATCCCTTTGTTGGATTCCAAAGCGGGACCCTTCAGACTGCAGGCTGATGCTCTAACCACTGAGCCAAACTGGCTAGGGCTATCCACTGTTACAGTATCTTACAGAGTAGTTTCATTGCCGTAAAATCCTTTGTGCCCCCTCCATTCATTCCCCCTTCCCAGCTGATGTCTTTTTGTATTTCTTTTTGTTAAATATGGATCCATGAATTCATTAGAGGTTGTGCACACTGAAGATACAGGAGCATGTGGAGTGAACGCTCATCAACTAGCGCCCTCTACTGACAAAGTTTCATTCAGTGCCAACTTGTAGAGGAAAACTATTTAAAATATTTTAAGGGCCCAGAGAATTTTCGCCTAGGTCAAAAAGTACAAATTTGGAGATGCGAGGCAAAAAAGAAAAAACTGACACACTTTACATGCATGTACTGATTGATACTCTAATGAAAGAGATCCCTATGTATATCTCCAGAAACCTTTGTGCAGCTCTCTTCCCTTGGGTACTCTTGACCCAAAAAATCTAGCCCCCTTGGTCTCTCGGGACTTTGAAATTTGTTTTCTCAACTCCAGGAGACTGCAGGGCTCTGCTTGGGAACCCTTTCCCTGCACTAGAGCCTGGAAATTCTCTGGGAAGTAAGGTTGAGGCAATAGTAGGTAGGGCTCACCTTATTTTTCCCCTTCTCTTGGTGATTACTCTCTAAACGTTCTTTGTTGTCCAAAGTCTGAAACCGGTTGTTTCACATGTTTTACTCATTTTAAAGTAATTTAAGGTGAAAGGGTAAATCTGGTATCGTGTTATTCCATCACATATGGAAGAGGAAGTCCAACTCCCTTGCTTTCTTGTTGAATACATTTCTTGATGTAACTTTGACTATGTTCATTTTTAACTGTTCAGAATCTCTTTGTTTTAGATATCTCTTATACACAACATATTGTTGAGTCTTGCGTGGTGGTATCTTCTGAAAGATATTTTCCTCTTAATAGGTGAGTTAAGCCTATTTACATTTAGTCTCTGTTATTTTATGTTTTGTTTACTATTTTTACATTCCACATTTTATTGATTCTAAGACTCATGTTTTCCCTTAAAAAAAAAAATTATGGAATCAAGATGTGTCTTCCAGTTAATGTCATGCCAAAGTTTAAAAAAGCAATTTGTTTTCTGAGCAGCACATAAAATAACAATGTTTTACAATTGGTGGCATTTTAGAATCAATGAAATACAATATTTATTTGAAAAGTCTTTATGTGGTCTGCATTTTTTGAGATGGTAATGAGTTTCTTTTAAAAAAATCATTGAAATATAGTTGGTGGTTTGCATTTTTATTGTTGTTATTTTCCTAATATTTAAGAAGTTTATATTTTTGTTACAGTCATTTCATTTATTCCTACTTATTAGTCACCCCTTTCTTTAGAGGGTGTTATGCATTTGTAAGATTATGTGTCTAGTTCTGGATTCTTGTTTTCTTTCTTTCTTGTCTTTTTTTAAATAACTGAATTTTTTATGTACAAAGAGATAACATTCTGCAGTAAGGTAGATATCTTGAATGACCCATTCATGGAAGTTCACTTAGTCCAACTTGAAGCCTATATCTTTTGCGTACTGATGGAAACACCGGCAGCACGTATTGAGGTCATATTTCTGGATCAGACCATGCAGTTTGAGCAAACGTGGCAAGAATGAGAACCCTGGCCAAATTTTCTCAGATGGCTCCAGTAGAGTTGCTGGTGACCCATGTTGCTCTCTTTGAAGGAGGGAGGCAAAAGGCTGTTTTGCTTTGTTTTTAATCCTGTTTGTAATTCCTTGAGTTTCCTGGATTGGTGCCTTTTATCAGTTCTGGAATTCTCAGCCATTGTCAGATATTTCCTTCTCTCCTTTTCAGACATCAATTAAAGCTCTAGTAAATATTCTCATTTTCTCTTCTATGTCTCTTTACCTCCTTTTGGTATTTTC